TGCGGTTATATTGAAAAAAAACGCCACTCGCTTGTTGATGAAAACACAACCTTTCTCCGGGCATGAATTATTCAATCGATCGCTCGAGACAAGAACGTGCTCAAGAGCGATCAGCCGCAAACGGACCAGATCCTAAAAACATAATTTAATTGTTTTTGTCCTTTCTGCGTGAGCAAATGAAGCGGCTAAATTATACAGCAGTCGGTCCGATAATAGTCTTTTACTCGGCAGTTACAAAGAATTAATCGCTTCGATCGATCACTCTCCATTAGAGATTCAGGGAGCCGGCTCAAAGTCAATAACCCCCCTCGAAATTTTCATCCGAATGATGCATAGCCGAGTATTGAAAACGATAAAAAGAACATTTCGTGTGCTCTCGCGCGTATGTGTGTTTGCAAATTCAGCAAGTCTATAAATCAGTGTGCTGTAGCGCATGAGAGAGAGGGAGTAAGCACCGCAAGTTCTATCTCGCGTAGTTGCGTAGCTACAAACCCGAAGAATTAGTCGGCCAACTAAGCCGTTTGTCACGATGAAAATAAATGGAGGTGTATAGGGAACTGCCTTTGCTTTGCTTGCCTCGAACCATAGTATACATGTATATAAGTTTACACACGCAGCCCTTATGTAACCAAGGTCCTGGATACACGGCATAAATATAACATTCATTCGATGATGCAACACCCCGTGAGGGACTGATGAATTATAGCGCTGCTACTGCTGCCTGCAGTAGTTTCAAACGCTCAACTATACCTACGTCGGATATGAGAATGTGTAATTTTGACCGAGATGAATTTCTCTCGGCGGTTTCTCTGACTCGCAAGTGCAATTGTGCGTGTATAGTCTTGCGGCTCGAGGCGTAAACGAGGGCTGCTATTGCTGCTACTGCTGATGCTGCTGCTGCCGTTGACGCGCTCAAGGATCCGGAGAAAAATTTACGGAAAAGTGTACCTTCTCCATTCAGAATTGTCAAAATCAGCGGCGGGATTAAGGACGCACGGCCCTATTCATTTCTAAATTATGGTCGACTCGACTAAAAAATTGCATCCCAAAAGTAAAGTAAAGAACACTCGTAAATAACCAGCCTCGAGGAGGTATTCCGCAGCTCTGCTGCATGCGCTGCCGCGCACGCTCGTTATAAAATGGGAATTTTAGGCTCAACGAAGTACGCAATGGTCTCGAAAAAAAAACGAGTCGAGCGCGGGCTTTACCTGCCAAGTATGCTTGTGTGTGTGTGTGCGTAATGTTGAGCGCGGAGCTTTTCGCCTGGATAATTCAGGCATAAAAACGTTTTTGTTCCTTCTTGTTGACGCGTGCGTGATGTGTGCTCATTCATACGTACACACGTACATCATATTGAACTACAGTAACCTACTGGCCAACGAGTATGTGTAGCTCTTTGCTTGGCCATCAAACTTCGAGCGCCGTTGTTCCATTTTTTTTCCTTTATGCACACGCTACACCGGAGTATACATTTCGAGAAAAGTTGAAAAGTAGTGCAGCAGCAGCAGCAGCAGCAGCAGTAGTTCGCTCTTCCGTGTAATGGCCGTGGCTTCGAGTGTGTGCAAGGATCGTTTCCCTTTATGCGAGCGAACTCGGCTGCTGCTGGTCGTCGTGATCGCGCTGCGGTGGTCGGCGCAAAATACTCGATCCGCACCGAAGGAAATAAGAAACGCGCTGAAATCATGCTTTTTCTCTGCTGCGCATATTATTTCATGATTGCGACATGGATTGATGAAAATAACGCTCGCAAAATTATATCCAACTCGTTATACGAACTCCTTTGGGATTTGTTAGATGAAGTTTTCTCTCTCTCTCTCTCTCTTTTTCCTTTAACGAGCAAAGCACTTTTTGCGAGGGTCTGCTCGATGAATGTGTCAAAGTGCATCAAATTTCAAACTTTCCCCGGACTATTTCGTGAAGCTGGTTTGCGACGTTAATAATATGGAGCTAGCAGAGCAGAGAAGCTGAGAAGAATATCGCGAGTATACATGCGCACACGCACACCTTGCTGTGCGCAGGTAAGTTTAATAAAGCGTGCGAAGGTCTTGCTCTCTCTCTCTCTCTCTCCTTTCATTATTACCATTACAAATTGCTAAATTTACATTAAACTTAATATTATAAATCGCGCACGCATACGGGGCTAAAGATCGTCTTCGTCGCACGAGGCTGCCATACGCACGTTGAAAGGCAACCAATTTAATGAGATCGTAAATTTAACTTAAAGAGGCTTTGAGTCTTATTAAATATACTCGACGGGAAATATCGGCGTCGTAACCGAGCACAGCGTACGACGCGTGCGTCATAGCTAGCATTGTATATATAATACTCGCACTCGTTTGGCCCGAGCGGAATATTGCATTTTTTCTTCTTTTGAATTCATAGTTTTTAATCAAGAGAGCAGCGGCGCGGCGTGTCCAGCGCGCGTATATGGGTAATTGTAATGCTTTTACGATACACTTTTGCCGCAGCTGCGGGTATTATTGTTATACCGGGACGAAAAAGGACAATATAGCGATTTTAGCGACAAATTGCTCGGAAAAATGTCACCATAGCGAATAAAAATCATTCTCCAATGGGCGCCGCGAACAAAAAAGTCTTTCAGCTCGATTGCACTCGCTTTTCCGTACACGCGCGCGTCTTAGCGTGCGGGGGAAAAAGTAAAAAAGAAAACACACAAGTTCTTGACTCGCAAAAACACATCGGGCGGCTCCCCAACCCCCTGCAAGTGCGCGAGGGGCAAAGTTTTATTATACGCGCCAATTTAACCGCGTGTAGTGTGTAGATAGCATTGATTACACAACAAAAGCAGTTGTTGGCTGAAATTGAGAAAATTTAAAGAACTTTTTCTCGTCGCGAGCTCTCGCACAAGTTCTTTGAAGCAATAATCGGTGCTGCGCGCAGAGATAGCTTAATGAATTTTCCTTCCATGTACGCGCGGCAGAAATTCGCGAAAAAGACTTAACGGAGTCGCATGAAGTGTGTATAGAGGGTGTGGGAGGAGGGGGTGCTGCTGCATAATGGTGTAACAACAATAGCTCGGCAGTAACCGCAGAAAGCAATTCGTTACGTAATATGATAAATTCGAGCCAGAGGCCGCGCGCAGCACATATTGTTCGAGTTAAGCGTATGCGTTTGTAGCGCACTAGAAGCCGCGTGTGCGAGAGAGAAGCCCGCAGCACGGCGTATATAGTACCATTAGGGAAGTAATTACGTGTATGTGCGTGTTAGCTCTTTCCCTGCCTCGGCGCACGAGTTGATGCCGAGCTCGACTCTACTCTCCGTGCGTTTAAGTATATGCTAGCCGACTCTCCGACGGACATTTCTTTGATGCTCTTTTGAATCGAGCCGCCCCGAAAGGGCCAAATTTGCCCTGTTTGACGTGCTGCTCCCTCCGACGTAACACTCGTTACACATCGTGGCCCCTATGATATGCCGACGCGATCCTACGCTAGACTCTCGACCTCTCGACGTTACTTTTCGCGTGAATTATTTTCACGGATAAATCCAGGCGCGGATATATGGGTCATCTGCAAATGTTATCGACCTCGTTCGTTTGTCGGTGCAATACCGATCAGAAAATCGGCATGTAGCCCGTGTTCTTTGTAGGATTATAATAATGGCCTATTCTTGCTCTATCTGCAGCGATTTGTGCGTGAGATTCGAAAGTCGAGGGGGATGAGTGCAGCCGTTAAATATGTATTGGGTCACGCACGAACCTCGTCGTATATTATACGTGCGAGCGAGCTGGTCCGACCGGCGCTACTGCCGCTGCTGCTGCTGCTGCTGCTACGGGCTGTATGTAATGATGCATAGAAGTACCTAACGTGTAATATTTAATTAACAGATGGAGCGATAATTTGAAAATCCAATATAGGTTTCTGGCTGGGCCGCACTGCAGCAAGCATGCCCGAGAGGATTGAGAGGGATATAGTATTCTGCGATTATTGACGATAATGGTCCATAACTGGCTTTTGTTTCTGCCTCCGATATCATTTTTAATTAGATGCGCCAAGTTTTACCCAAATTACCAGCTAGCAGAGAGTTGGAAACTCATTTTTATCGAGAAAATCGAGGCTCGCGATGAGAATCGTAAATTCGGAGCGATGAAAAAAAAAGTACGCTCGCAAGCATAAAGAAATCCTAAGGTATATAGATGTAAAGTTGAATTTACTTTTTCAACCGGACCTGCACGTACTTTCCTCTCTCTCTCTCTCTCTCTCTCTTTCTCTCTTTTCCCCTCGGCCGCGCACGCGCGCGTACGTATATACAAGCTGGAATACTTTTGAAACGGTCGTTTTAATCAAGAACTGCACGATAGCAGGGGGTATATATATCAGTCTACTTTCGCCAAGCTCACACGTACCTTGTGGCAAAAGTTGGCAGTTTAGCGAGTAGCAGCAGCGAAAAAAATAAATAAACAGACTTTTATTGAACACGCTTAGGTTAAAAATCGATACAACTGCGGGACACGACTCTACGTTATTTCATTGGAAAAAAGAGCCAGCCAACGAGAGTATAAAAATCTTTGCACTTGTATAATATCGCTTTGGTACATGTGCCGTATCGTTCTCGGCTTTCGATTGGCTCGGCGAGCGCAATTGACGCTGGTAAATAAAATTCTGCGAGCCTGGCAGGAATCTACATCACTGACAAGCAGATGCATTCGCAACTCTGTATTTGCGAGCTGATATAATTTTCAAAGCGAAGCTTTTGAAAAACGTTTTTCTAATTAAGCGACTGTAAACGCACATCTCTCGCCTTTTTCCGCTCATCGTCGACTCGCCTTTTCTCCGACTACATTAAACAGCCTCGCGAAAGTGTGTGGTTGTATTACTATGACACTACATCAACTCGGAGGCGAGAGAACAATGCTTTCAGTTATCAAGTATTCTCTGGAGACAGTATCTAACCCAGGGATCTTTATGAAGTTTTTCTTGGACAAAGTACAAAAGTTTCATCGTAAATGAAAAATTTATTAAAGCGCAAAAAGATAAACTCACCAGTACAGAATTTCATATCAGCCTTGCCACAGCATCCTACAGGTACAACTGTAACACATATATATATTTTTCATTGACTTCACAATAATATAATACAATACAATATACAATGCAATAAATTACGCATGGTGAATAAATATTTAAATGAATTTTAAAACTTGAGCATTTAACGATGTAACTTGGGATTTTGTGAAAAATTTTTCCTTGTAACGTAATATCAATTTTAGTCGGTATCCATGAATATAGCCAACTGCGTGTATAAATATAAGTTTACCCAGCTGCAGATTTATCGTTACTAAGCTCATTTTTTCAGCTCCAAGTTATGAAGACTTTTATATATAGCAGCTTTGTTTATTTGTTCACTTTTTTCTCTTTCTTAAGTGTATCCGTATACCTCCGTACAAGCCAATGCAGCATTATATTTTATTTTTATTTTTTTACCTTAGAAAGTCATTGTGCTCTCTGGGGAGAAAATAGAAGTTATAAGTCGCGAGAGACATGCGAAGATAGATGAAAAAATGCAAATTTTTTTTTTCTTGGTTCGTCGTTACGATATCTTCTCGAATAATGATCAGTTACGGAACCGAGCATTTGATAAGCATCATAGTCGTGCTGGATAAAGTCATTTGCTCATCGTGAATTATGAGCTTACACGCCTTTAGTAACGGCATCGAAACCGTCTACATTAAACTCTCATGGAATCTCTCAACTTTAAAAGCTTATTCAACTCCACGTACAAAAATCAAATTTTATTTTTCTCGTAACTATATTTGTTCGCATAAAAGATATATTGGCAAAAACGTCGTATTCTATGATATGCATGAAATTAGAAAGCAATGCCAAGACTTCGAGAAATCTCCTTAACAAAGAACCTCTCGCGGATAAAAACGCTGCCAATTCATTGTCAAATAGCTCTCGCCTTAACATTTTATTGATTCCTTATAAAGTATTATTAAAAAAAAGTAATTTCAGATTTATTATGAAAACGCGTGATGCTTGACATAACACGATTTTTTCTGATTCAATTATCCTTATCAAAATTAAAAAAATATGTAAATTTTATTTTAATATGGTAAAAATTCACTCATACTGTCTTAAATATAAGTTCTTAACCCCTAGCTTCGAAAAATTTTAACTTTCCTTGTCGTACGGTTCATAACTTTAATCTTAATATTTTATAAAACTCGACATGTCAAAGCTTTATTAATTAGTGTTTTCATTAATAAACAGATGAGAAGAATGCACAAAAATTTGAGAAATAAGACAAAATTATTGGACCAGCAATTTTCATCGTATTATGAAAACAATTATAAGAACTTTCCCATTCAATTTTAAAATATTCAGCACCTTGCACAGACATTATTATTAATTTATAAATAAAGTCACGATGTGACGGTATACGCATGCTGTGAACTTTTCGGAACTTATATATATTGTATTTATTGTACTATACATTTACATTCATGTTGTATATTTATGTTTGTAAATTCATACTTTTCATTTTTTATTCCCATAAATTATAAAATAGCTCTATAATACTTCTAAATTTACAGAGAAAAAACATTACTGCATCGTGATCTAAATGGAAAGTATTTATAAAGACAAATGTAGTAATTGTTTTTAATTTTGGCATTTTCGGTACTGTATAATTGCCTATTTATTGGACTACGTATATTTGTTTAATTGTTCATATGTAACATGTGTTCTAATAACATGTCGTGCTATAATCCCTAGTTTTGCCAAAGATCATAACAGCACCCTCTGAGAAATATACTATTTATGAAAGTCTTTACAGATTTCTGTAAACTCAAAAATGCAACTAAACTTACTCGAGGTTCCTGACAAAATTCCATAAAATTCTTGAAAAAGTTGATTGAAATTTTTTCAAATCTTTTTAAAAGAATTTTGGATTCTCGAAACAGCTCTGAAGGATTTACAACAACCGATGTTATTATGATCGATACTAAAAAACACTTTCGATAAACTCAAATGAAATTCTGAGTAATATTGCGAACATAAATACACACAATGCAAGCAAAATACAACATTAATTAATACGAGGATACAGCACATGTTACAAATTAAATCATTATTTAATGTTATGTTTTCATAAAAAGCTTGTAATACCCCATTGCACTTTTGTTTCCATAAAGTCCAACGCTTTGATACAAACCACCGAATTTCATAAAAGATTTTACCGTCATTGTAGATCATTAAAGGTATAACTTTTGATATTTTTAGTTACCCTTGTCGAAATGCTCACACTAGTTGATCAAAGGGCAATCGTTAATTTTAAATTTAATTTTCATGACTTTACTGTTTACAACAAACCAAGTGATATTCATAGGACGGTGTTTCTGTGCGGGCATGTATTATACGAGGCTCGCTTTTGTATACAGTCAGAGACAATTGATGTTTCCTTTAGCGAGTGGTGTACATATCTGCAGCAATTCGCGTTATTACTCGTTATCGACGATAACAGCGCAGTTCGTGGGCATATTATGTTATTCTACAACATTCGCAATTAACATAGTCAATAATGTGTACACACGTAGCAAGACGGGCGCAGCAGCACTTGCAATTAATTCGTTACATTAATACAAGGCAATAATAACGCAATCAAGTAAGTTAATTAATAGTTAATGGGCGAGAGAGAGAAATAATCTCATTGCGGTTTTATTTCCCTACGAGAAAGAGAGCAGGCCTTAATTCAAAACTTTATTTTCAAGTTCTTGGCCGGCGAGCAGCGAGCAGCTAGCGACTAAAACTTTAGGGCTCGTATTGAACTTCAATTATATACTATCGTACCTTGGAGAAAACTTAAAAAGGGCGTGACGCTCAAACTGGTAATGAGTTTTGATTGGCAAACGCAGGCTCTAGCTTCTCTTAAAGTCGCAGTTCGTAACTTTGTCCTCTCTTCCTTTTCTCGACTAACTAAATTTAGCCTCCTTTTTAAACTCGCAGTAGCTTCTTTTTTTAGTGGTGCCTCGACACTAGCGAGTGTTAGTCTACTGTTATTTTTCACACAGACGCAACTCGGCGGGGTAGATAAAACTTTTTTCCAGCTGTTCGATTTCGAGAAATAAAAGTTTGTCCAAGCACGCGTTACGAAAAGTTCCTTTTTCTACGATCTCATACTCGTTTGACTAGTTTCCTTGTCGATTAATTGAATTTTACTATCTTTATACTCGTGTGACTTGCACAAATAAATCGCTGCTGCAAGTGCAGCTGTGCGAAGATGTATGCGCGTATACATGTGAACCCAACGTCAAAGCTAAACCTTGACAAAGGTAAATCTCTCTCAGCGGCAGCACCAGGCAAGGAGAGAGAAAGTCAAGTACGCCGTAGAAGGAAGAGAAGAGAATGTATAGAGTACCTATACTACTGCTTAAAGTGCTACGTTGCAATTGTCAAAAGCGTCTTTTTACGCGAGTGGCATTTTGCTATTTTTTTCTTCTCTTCTTGGCGCAAATGCCGGCAAACTACAAGTCTTTTGTTTACATTTTGTTAAAGTGGAGATTTCAAGGAATGGGAATAAAAAAGTGAGAAAAGCGTGAAACTGAACTGCAGGTAAGTGAGAAAAATGAATTCAGTACTTCAAAATGCAATAATTGTTTGATTTTTTTCACTAGTAAATGCGAAGTATAGGATATGAATAAACTGCCACTAAATTATTAAAGATCAGTTCTTGTAAATGTAACAGCTTCTACGAGTGACGTGTTTAAACGACAGTACTGGAAAGAAGGAGTGAGCTAGATCTTGACTGTCAACAGTTTGAATCAATATTTACAGTTTTTGCAAAAAGCATTAGGCGCCTTTGATATTCACTTTAAAGCTTCACGAGAAATTCAGCATAAAGGAGCGTCACGTAATGAAAGTGGAGCAATCATGTACTATTTAAAATATACAATGCACCACCTTATTGCATATTATATTTGATAATATCTGTTTTATGTATTTCATTTTTTTAATCCCAAAAATGCTTTTGAATTATGATATAAATCTGCATTTTACTGAATCGATAAAAGATTATTTGTATTTTTATGACTTAGCTAACGTACTTTAAAAATTTTTTTTGATAATTTATCACAGGATAGAAAGAGTGACAAAGAGAGACGATTATAATATTTGCTCAAAATAATCGTAGCTAAAAATAATCGTGTCAACTTTTTCTACTTCTATAATTTTAACTTAACCATTCTTCAAATAGTAAACAAATTCGATAAATACGTCAAAGTTGATTCTATGGAAATTCAATTGAACGATAAACGATAAAAGGTGTAATGATGAGAGGTATTACAGTTACTTCGAGCTAAATCCCCCCCAGGCAAAAGTCACTTGGTGCTTTCCAACAGCTCGGTCAATCAGGTAAACGTGCAAAATTTCTGTCTCGAAACTGTGATCCCTTACACGAGTCGACGCACCCCCGCACGGACGCCGCTCTGTGTATACAATACTCAGTTTTCTATGAAAATTAAAGCTGTGCGTGTCTGGTTGCGCGCATACACTCATAATCCCTCGACTTTATCGCGCAACTATGCGGCGAGGTAGTGGCGGCACGATGACACTGCGTGCTCGCTCATACGCGAGTAAGCAATGAAAGGGCTATTCCAAACTCTCTACGCAGATGCTGCATACGTGGAAATTATTATTATTATTATTATTATTATTATTATTATTATTATTATTATTATCGTCATCAGCGGCCGAGAGGGGATGAGAGGAAGCGAGTAGTACTCGCGGCTGAGGATTAAATGCGTACCGCGGAAAGGTCGTTGTGAATTTCCAGCGTGTTGTACTGCTCTCGCACTGCAGCAATAGTTGTGTAATAATTTAGCCGCCGTCGTCGAGAGGGTTGTAAAACTTGTGTCTCTCTCGCCTGAGCGCCGGTACATGTATTTGCGCGTACACCTACGGAGTAATCGTCGATTTGACGAATAGACCGAGGCCACGTACGTGTGATATATACGAGCTATTTATAAGAAATGGGGCCAAATGTGCTTATTTTTTCATCCGACTTTTCTGTGGATTATTCTCCGGTGCTATTT